TCCCATAGAAAACTATTGATTTTTAGGAATTCTATACCATTTCTACGAAAAGTGTTTTTTTCCCCATATAAAATACATGGAAAACTTTGGGCGCTTTGAGCGACCTCTAAATATTTTTTGTTTTCAAAATAAAAAAATAGGGATATATTTTTCTCGGTAAAGAACAATCGTAGGGGGGTGAGAGCATAAAAATTCCGACCTTACTTTTCACATACATTTTTGGACCACCCTAATGTATGTCTTTACATAGTATAAAGAAAAGACGAATTCTCGAAGACAACTGAACGGATTTTGACGAGATTTTCTGNCTCTAAATATTTTTTGTTTTCAAAATAAAAAAATAGGGATATATTTTTCTCGGTAAAGAACAATCCTAGGGGGGTGAGAGCATAAAAATTCCGACCTTACTTTTCACATACATTTTTGGACCACCCTAGTGTATGTCTTTACATAGTATAAAGAAAAGACGAATTCTCGAAGACAACTGACGAGGATTTTGACGAGATTTTCTCTAATAAATTCTGTATCGATAGGGGAGTGGCCCATGAACGAAAGACACAAGATCTCGCGGGAAGGAAAGAATGAAAAAAGTTATTTTCTAGCTGCCGAAATCTCGACGCCATCTTTGTTGTAAGAAGTAAACAACGAAGAGAACGGAGAAAATCGCGAAATTGTTGAACGAATGAAAAATCATTTTTGTTATGCAAATTCTTCTATAAATCATGCCGTTGTGTTAAATTATTCTTTATCTTATGTGTACACACGTTGTCACAAGCAAAAATGAAGAAAATTGCAGTAAAAAGCCACCACCAAATTGTAAACAACGAAGAAATGTAAACAAACGGCTAATGTCAAAATCGTTCAACTTTTTTCCTAAATGCGATACTAACGGGCTACTCTCCTGCCCGCGTGATCTTGTCTTTTTAGTTCATGGGAGTGGCCTTTTTAATTTAGAATTTAATTAGGGTTGCCACCTATTAAGAAAATTACTATATTCAATTCTAATTCTGCACCGTCACTGTCAAATGAAAAGACTAACAGGCCAACCCAAGGTACATTAAACAGATCGTATCAGTAGAGCAGCTGATTTGATTTATTTTCAAATTATTTGGTCTCGAAAATGTCAAATATTTTTAATTTTTTCTCACAAAAATTCTGAATTGTTAAAATCCATTTGCATGTGAAACCTTTTTCCATACAAAACAAGCGATTGAATAGCAGCTTTTGGAACGTTCGCCCAACTCAGCAGCACGACCGCTGATTACTGGGCCTTGCAAAGGATGGATCAATGCTTCGAGAAGCAAACAAATTTACTAGGAAAGAAAGTTGCATCAATTTTTATTTTTTCCAATTTCAATTTTTTATTTTTTATAATTTTTTGTATTTCACATGGCACGCTTTGATTTAGAAGAAAAAATTCAGAACAGTTTTAGACACTTTCGATACCAGAAGCAACAACAAAATACACGCAAATGTTGTTTTTGCTCTACTGATACTACCTGTTTAATGTGCCTTGGGCCAACCTAATATTCACGCACGCCGGCAGTTTACTGTCAAAAATTTCTCATGCATATACATCTTGTATGGGACCAACCGAAATTGACCGGCGTGCGTAAAAAGCCAACTCAAATTCCAAGATTTGTGTTGCGTGACATTTCGATTTGACGTCTGTGCTCTATGACATTTTGGCGCGACAATGAATTAAAATTTTGGAAAAAATGCAGAATAGCTTCGATTCTCAAATTAAAAAACACATATGGGGATCGATAGAGATCATTGAGGTGAGTATAACGGTATATTTCTTTTCTTGCGGAAATAACGACTACAATAGTTATTAAGACTCAAAGTTCAAATTAAACAATTCCTTTCTGCGTACATTAATTAGATTTTTGTGAAAACTAAACAAGGCATATATAAAGTATGTATATCAAATTAAAGGGAACTAAATTTCCTATCCATATATTACTTTTTAAGAATTTTTTATTTAAAAAATAGTTTAATTTGAACTTTGACCCTTAATAACTTTTGTAGTTTTTGTTTCCGCAAGAAAAGAAATATACCGTTATACTCACCTCAATGTTCTCTATCGATCCCCGTTTTTTTAATTTGGGAATCGAAGCTTTTCTGCATTTATGCTCAAATTTTGCTCAACTTCTGAAATTGGACAGAAATGCAACTCTGAAAAATCACGCACGCAAATTTATTTCGGTTACTCAAATGTGAAGAACTTGCGTGCGTGCGTAGAAAAATTCACGCCGGTAATATTAGGTTGGCCTGTTAGCCTCTGGATGTGTAATAATGTATTATTTTTCTGAGTAGGGTTGCCATCTGTTTAAAAACTATAACATCTTCACCGATCGTTGGATAAAAAAATGAGGTACCAAATGAAAGTGCATGGCCTTCGCATGTACAAAGTTTTTTGAGTAGGGTTGCCCCCTATTTAAAATTACTATCTTCTATACATAGTATAAAGCAGACATGGGCACTTTTTTGCCCGCGCAGTAGCGAAAGTGCAACTGCGGGCTGGAGAAAGGGAAAAATAGTTCTCGAAAATGGTAAAAATGGGTATCGCTCGCCCTTCAGATAGCCCGTGGCCCTCACCACTACACTTAGCCCCTAAAAAGTCGGGCGAATGGCGGCCGTGCGGCGATTATCGCCGTCTCAACGACCGGACGGTCCCTGATAGATACCCCGTGCGGTATCTTGAAGACTTTGCAGCTAACCTTTGTGAAAAATCTATATTCTCCACAATAGATTTAGTACGGGCATTCAATCAAATTCCGGTCGCATGCGACGACATTAAGAAAACCGCTATAATAACTCCGTTTGGGTTGTTTGAGTTTCCTTTCATGGCGTTTGGACTCAGAAACGCAGCTCAAACGTTTCAGCGCTTCATCGACGAAGTCACTAACGACCTACCCTTTGTTTTTCCATACATCGACGACCTGTTAATTGCCTCAGATAACGAGCGACAACACTTGGAACACCTTAAGACGCTATTTCAGCGTCTCCCCACAGCAATTAGCAGCAGCTCAAGAGTGTGACGCAGAGCTTCAGCAACTCACCACTAGACCGAGCACTACGTTTCACCTTCAGAAACTTACGTTTCCAGAGCACAAAGTTAGCATTTACTGCGACATTTCGTCGGGTACAGTGCGTCCTTTCGTCCCCGCTTCGCTAAGGAAAGCTGTATTCGACTCACTACACTCACTTTCTACTCCAGGAATCCGCTGCTCACAAAAATTAGTGGCAAGCAGATACGTGTGGCCTGCTGTCAATAAGGACTGCCGCACGTGGGCGCGAACTTGCATCGAGTGTCAACGAAATAAAATACAGCGCCATGTCGTTACATCTCCTTCGAGATTTCAGTTGCCATCAAAGCGCTTCGAGCATATCCACATGGATCTAATTTCTCTACCTCCTGCGAAAGGATTTCGTCAGTGCCTTACAATAATAGATCGTTTTACGCGCTTTCCTGAGGTAATCCCACTTGAAAACGGAAATACGGAAACCATCGCGCGCGCTATATTCTACCATTGGATCGCGATATATGGGGTTCCACTTCGAATAACGTCAGATCGCGGTGGGCAATTTGAATCCGGCAACATGCGCAGCTGTTTGGAATTCACCACATTAGGACCACACCCTACCATCCTCAAGCCAATGGACTCATCGAACGTTTGCACAGGCAATTAAAATCAGCTCTGCTTTGCCACAAAGACACTTGGTATGACGCGCTTCCAATAGTTCTAATGGGCCTACGAGCTTCGTGGAAAAATGATATTTCTACAACACCCGCCGAACTGGTGTACGGCGAACCTCGAATCGGTGAATTTTAAATACTGCGAACAATCAGTCAACGCATGGTTTGCTCCGCCATTTACAACAACATTTTAACACCGACCGAAATGTCTCGTCATGGCAAGAGGTCAATTTTTCGTTTCAGAGAATTGAATAACTGCTCCCATGTTTTGGTACGTGAAGGGCAAATAGGACCATCATTAAGCGCTCCATATCAAGGACCATACCGCGTCATATCACGTCATGAGAAACATTTTTACATTGAAGTTAAAGGGCAGCGCACTCCAGTTTCAGTGGACCGACTAAAGCCTGTCTTTGAAGTATCAACTGACGAACAGAACACAACAACCAGAACCGGACAAACAACGAGGCATGTGCACTTTGCAGATGATTCATAACCATTAATACGATTTAAACGAATTGTTTGTAACATAAGCTGTTAATTAGTTTAAGAAAAAAAACATGAATTGTAAAGTTAAAAAAAACAAGGGGAGCTATGTGGCAACCCTGTCACTTATGACATTGTACGTGACCGCTCTCCCTCTCAATGGAAGTAATGTCATTTCTCTGGAAAACTTACAACGTCTTTAATAAACTGAGCTCTGACTCTCTCTCATTCACTACATATATAGGCATTTACGTATACATATATATACCAGGTATATTAACCAGGGTGTGATTGACAACTTAGGTAGGCTCTTTTTTAAGGTACTATTATGCCAAGATAAATATAGCAGGCGATTTAAAACTCAAAAAAATAATTTCAATTTGACTTTGTAGTATGGTTTTTCTGAGAGCTATGCCGAATTGTGTGATCTGTTGAATACGTTTTGGTATACACAGAAAAAAATAGAACAAAAAAAAAGGTTATTTTTGCACTTACTATTACATTTTTCCTAAATGTCTTCCTTCGTTTACATTTAATTTATTTATTTTTTTGTGCTTTGCTTTTAATTACTTAATTTTTTTTTCAAAAATTCTAATTTTAAATTTCTTGTTTCTTCCTTTTTTTGTCTTTATAGTTTATAGCTTACTTTCTAGGTTCAAAAAAACAATTAATTTTTCTAATCTGTAGAATTAAGTTTTGGGCCCGAAGGACTCACCCACTGTTGCAGCAGGCCAGTGGTATGGGCCCTGATGTTGTTGTTGTCAATGCTTTCGTTGCAGCAGGCCAGTGGTATGGGCCCTGCTGTTGCAGCTTAACGTTGCTGCTGTTGTTGTTGCTGCTGGTGTGAAGTTGTTGTAGCGCGTTTTATTTGTCGCTGTAGCGCGCGTTGTTGCACCCGCTGCTGTGGCGGTTGTTGTTTTCGATGGCGCGGTGTTGCTTCCGCGCGTTGTAGCACCCGCTGCTGTGGCGGATGTTGTTGCCTCCGCACGTTGTTGTGCGTTTTATTTGCCGCTGTAGCGCGCTGCTGTAGTTGCGCGTTGTTGCACCCACTGCTGTGGCGGTTGTTGTGGTCGATGGCTCGGTGTTGCTTCCGCGCGTTGTAGCACCCGCTGCTGTGGCAGATGTTGTTGCCTGCGCACGTTGTTGTGCGTTTTATTTGCCGCTGTAGCGCGCTGCTGTAGTCGCGCGTTGTTGCACCCGCCGCTGTGGCGGTTGTTGTTTTCGATGGCTCGGTGTTGCTTCCGCGCGTTGTAGCACCCGCTGCTGTGGCCGATGTTGTTGCCTGCGCACGTTGTTGTGCGTTTTATTTGCCGCTGTAGTTGCGCGTTGCTGCACCCACTGCTGTGGCGGTTGTTGTTGTCGATGGCGCGGTGTTGCTTCCGCGCGTTGTAGCACCCGCTGCTGTGGCAGATGTTGTTGCATGCGCACGTTGTTGCGCGTTCTATTTGCCGCTGTAGTGCGCTGCTGTAGTTGCGCATCGTTGCACCCGCTGCTGTGGCGGTTGTANTGCGCACGTTGTTGTGCGTTTTATTTGCCGCTGTAGCGCGCTGCTGTAGTTGCGCGTTGTTGCACCCGCTGCTGTGGCGGTTGTTGTTGTCGATGGCTCGGTGTTGCTTCCGCGCGTTGTAGCACCCGCTGCTGTGGCGGATGTTGTTGCCTGCGCACGTTGTTGCGCGTTTTATTTGTCGCTGCACACTGGTCTAAATGGCATTATTTTTGGCATAAACTAAACATTTTTATTCGAAATATTTGTAAATTGTATTAACCGCCCATTTAGTTAATCCCCCATGCATGCTGAAAATACAAAAAAAAATCTTTGGGTCAGTGTTGTAATCTGACAACCATGCAAAAACAGATATTTTTGTGAAAAGCTTCATTTGCTTTTTGTGTACAGAAAATTTGTTGTGCTTCTTAATTGAAAATTAATTAAAAAAAACGGTCTAACAAATAAAAGAAAATAATGGAAAATATAGTGAAAGGTATGAAGATTTATGTATTGTGAAAATATTAATGAGTTCAATGCCTCCGTTGATTTTAAATAGCTTTTATGTGATGTAGTCTTTTTGGTAAAGTGGAATCTTAAAGTAGTGTTATTTTGTAGAGAAAAACTAGTGAAGAGTCGCCGTAAGAGCCAAATTTTTGGTGCTCAGTTATATGTTGATGTATCATCTTTTATATGACATTAATATTTCTTGCGCATATTTGCGCAAATTCTTAATAATTTTATAATTGCAGAGCAAGTTCAGTTTTGCCGAGAAAATTTATTGTCGGTTTGGCTGGAAAATAATAGAAATACCATTGCGCTGATTGAATGGGTGTCAGAGCAGTANATAATTTTATAATTGCAGAGCAAGTTCAGTTTTGCCGAGAAAATTTATTGGCGGTTTGGCTGGAAAATAATAGAAATACCATTGCGCTGATTGAATGGGTGTCAGAGCAGTTCAATGGCGACGTTTTAACGGAGAGCACAGTAT